AAGTGCTGCTTTGTGGTCAAGGGCAGCATTCTTACGAATTAGGAAGCCCACGAGATTGGTCTCATTTTCAGTTGCCCACTATGTTTCTTAGCACTTTGCATCTGGTGCATTGCAGTGATAAGTCTTTTTCCAGTTCTTCCTGCTCTCTTTACTTTTCTCCTTTATTGGAGTCTTGCACATTACTGCCAGAGCTGTCTTGCCATCAGAGTACTTACTCATCACACTGCTCCTCACCATCATTAAAGGAATAATGACTTCATTTACTGCTTCAGGACCCCAAACTTTTAAGGCTGCTTCTCATTTTCCAAAGCAGACATACTTGGATATTTTTAAAACTTTACAAATAGACTATTCTATAATGAAGACTTCTTTTTGTACCTGTTAATGCTCTGTTTAAAATAAATATTTTAACTGTCCTTCCTATTGCCTCAGCCACAGATATATGGCATTCTGTAATGTGTTGACGTGATTTAGATTAATGAGGGGCTTTTATCCAAAACATAGGAGCTAATTTATTCTCCATTATGGAGGTGCACTTTTCTGCTGAGCAGTCCTCCAGAAATAGCACAGCCACTGCTTTGTCTGCCAGGGTAGTGGCTTTTGGTGGGGAGGTTCATTTTGAATATGAGTGATTGATAATGCATAACTTCAGCACATGATTGCTTTTTTTTTTTTTGAGATAGAGTCTCACTATATCAGTCACTCTTGGTACAGTGCTATGGCGTCACAGCTCACAGCAACCTCCATATCTTGGGTTAAAGTGATTCTCTTGCCTCAGCCTCTCAAGTAGCTGGGACTACATGAGTCCCAGGTGGGGCAGGCTCCCACCACAATGCCTAGCTGTTTTCTTGTTGCACTTGTCATTGTTTAGCTGGCTCCGACTGGGCTTGAACCTGCCAGTCCTGGTGTATGTGGCCAGTGCCCTAACCATCGAGGTACAGGTGCCAAACCAACAGATTGTTTTATATATAGTTTTGCTGCTGCTTGGAAATTCTTAACGCTCATCTCCTAGCATTATCTGAGAATCTCTTTATCAGCGATTGTCTAGTTAATTCCTGTTGTAAATAATTGGTTGGATTTGCCTATGGAGCATGAGAAATTTTATTTTATGAACAGCTCTGAGTATGTTCTCAGGTATGACATCCCCTTCCTCTCCTGGTCCCCTACAGCATCCTCCCACTCCCAGCACTCACTCTCACATATAAAAGTGCAATTTGTTATTTTAGGTCTTTTTCTTTGAGTTTGCAAAAGTAACTATGCACACAAATGTGTCTTTATAGTCATTGCCAACTTAACCTTTTTCCTTTCTGAGGGTAGAATTAGGGGGAGGGAATGGATGCTTATCTAGACTGAGTGTGGAAAGGGAATAATCTAGGTATTCCAAAGATCTTGTAGAAGTTTGTTTTGTAGCAGGGTGTGTGCCAGAACCAGCAACACTATACAAGGGTACGACCTCATGTTTTATGCCAGTTGACCAATATTTCTTTTGTTTCCTCAGATCAATGTAACCACTGTGCGGGAATATCTGCCAGAAGGAGACTTTTCAATAATGACAGAGATGCTCAAAAAGTTTTTGAGCTTCATGAATCTTACTGTAAGTAGCTTTTACTGCAGCTTGTTTTAAATGTTAAGAGTCATACGTTGACAGTAGCAATAAAAATACTATGGCATAGCCTTGGCGCCTGTAGCACAGTTGTTATAGTGCCAGCCACATACACTGAGGCTAGGGGGTTCAAACCCTGCCCAGGCCACCTAAACAACAATGACAACTGCAACAAAAAATAGCCGGGCATTGTAGTGGGTGCCTGTAGTCCTAGCTACTTGGGAGACTGAGGCAAGAGAATCGTCTAAGGCCAGAGTTTGAGTTTGCTGTGAGCTGTGAAGCGGAGCACTTCATTGAGGGTGACATAGCGAGACTCTGTCTCCAAAAAAAAAAAAAAAATACTATGGCCATAGATAGTAAGTGGAAGTAAAAAGGGATTCTCTTAATTTTTCATAATTATAATTAGTTCATCAAGATGATTATTGCGTATTATGACAAAACACTTTATTATCAAAGGCACAATTTTGTCAGTGTACTGTGATTTGTGGTGTTTACTTTAATAAATATAAAGGAGTTAAACTTTGATTTAATGCTTTTTAATATTTGTTCTATTAACTGTTACTTCCTTTCCTTCTTTATCCTCCCCTTTCAGTGTGCTGTTGGAACAACAGGCCAGAAGTCTATCTCTAGAGTGATTGAATATTTGGAACATTGCTAGCTGCTTTCCCTTTGCTTCCGGTGCTTGGTAATGCTGGAGCTATTCTTAGACAAAGAAAAATCATGAAAGAAGTCCTTGAAGATATACCAAGAACATTCATCAGTGTCATTCGTGTTTGGATTTTTAAGACCACCTGATTTCTTCGTCATGCATTCTGCATTTGCTAAATGACAGTTACTACATCAATCTGCAACTATCAAAAATGAGGGAAAAGGTTCAGGCTGTTAACAATTCCATGCAGTATTTAAATACATTTACTTTGGCAGAGTTTATGCCCTCCCCTTGTTTTCTTGCTTTACTCTTGGCAAGGTTTAAGGGGAAAATTTGTGCTGCTGTTAGTGCAACTGCTGTGTGTGTTGAGCCACTGTTGTCATGCCAGCCAGGTGCAAAGGCAGCTTAAGCTACTGAGGTATTGAATGTTCTGAGGACATTCTAGACAACAGCTTAGTTCCTTTTTCAGGCTCATTTGCTTTTGCTTTTTTGTTGAATGATTCCAATCGTAAATAAAGCTTTTAATAATTTTGTGAATTTTTTGGTTGTTGTTCCCTGAACTACTGTTTATATTTAAAATTAGATGGAATCCAAAGACACAAGGGATTAATAGTATATTTTTTTATTCTTGATTAGGTTTGGGTTATTGGACTATTTTTCACTTTTGTGACCACGACCATATCCAATATCATACCATAATGTGTCATAGCTGTAGACACAAGAAAACAAATAGCAGTTGAGGGAATATTATATAAGATGATGTGCCCTGTTAAAGGAATAAGCAAAATATACAAACCCAGGGTAGTTTACACTTAACACTAGGGAGGCTCTTGAAACATTATTAAGTTTTGAGGGAAGATTCTCTAGATATATTTTCTAATGTTCAATACAATAAATATACGGAAGCTAAAACACCAATGTGGAATTCATGTTTCCAGATAACATGTATATTCTTCTATAGAATGACAGGATCAATTGCATAAGCGCAAAGCCTTAAATTGCTGGTTTAGAGAAGACCCTTTTTTCATTCAGATTCTTTGTTCATAAAACAGTTGTTTAAAAAAAAAACAGTTATGGAACACACAAAACATTTTATACGTGTAGTTTTATGGTGTTGCAGTTTTTTCTTTTACTGATTATTCAGACCACTGGTTATACTTCTTTTTTTCGTTTTTATTGATTGGGCCTGAATACAGGCTTTCCAGAGATATGTTTCGTTAATGCTTTCAAATACCTTTCAGGTAGTTACATCATGTTTCACATTGGATTTATAAAACTTAAAGCCATAAAAATATTAGTTTGGTGTGTATTGGGGAAAATAGCTTAAAGTCTAATTTTTACCCATTTAGACTTTGTTATTTCCTTGTATAAAGTGACAAATCGGGGCTCTTGTATCAGTGCCAGCTGTAATGTTTTTTAATGCAGTGGCTGCCTTCTATTGTCTTCCTATTTTTGATAATGCAGATTGTTGGGAAATCTATAAGGAAGTAACTGATTCCAGGCAAATTGTTTTCTTCTTCCCTTCTACCCACCCCAACCCCTACCCGTCACTTTTTAAGAACATAGTATACCAGTGTAACGTGGGGGAGATTGAAATTGTATTTACCCTGAGTATAAAAGCTAGCTTAGCAAACTATTTTAAAAGCATATCAGTAAATGATACCCATAAAATTAAATTAGTTAGGTATGTTTTGCTTAATTATTTTAAAGTACATTGGTATTTATTAATCATTCATTGGCTTTAGGGAAAGAAACAGATTTGGTAAAACTGATTTGTTTTCAGAAGGTGAGAATATTATGAAGCATTTGGATGAGAACAATCAGGGTGAGCTACATTTTTCTGTTACACTGGTAATCATTTTGAGAATTGATTTACCTCAGTGTTTAACAGTTTTTTGTTTTGTTTTGTTTCTTAAATAATAACTAATTGTCAAGCACTGATAGAGATGCAGATTTTGGTGGGGGAGATGACCCCTCACTGACTTTTGCAGTGCATTTGTGTGTTTTTAACCCTCAGAGAACTCTGCATTTTAGGGTACTTGAGGCTGACTTGCAAATTAACTAAAGTTTTAAAGTAACCTTTTTTTTCCATTGTAAATATTTCTGTAAATAATACCAATTGGAAATTAGAACAGTAGAGTACTTTTCTGAATCCGATCCTATTTTTATTTTATACAGTATTTCTCAGCTGTGATCTTTGGAGCAAAAGCCAACGGCAGGAAAAAATAGTTTGTACCAGTTTCATGAAGTATGTCTTTGGGTTTTTGTAAATAATTTTAACTCAAATAAAATTGCTACTTTCAATACACATGTTGTCTTTTTAACATAAATCTGTTGACCTATTTTGGAGGAAGAAGTCTCTCACAACCTTGATAACAGCTGACTAATGGGAAGTGTGACTAGGGGGAAAAATGCTGTGTCACTTAAGTGAATTTCCACCTGACTACATATGCATAAACATTTAAGAAATTTTTGTTAAATATTACATGTTCATGTTTTTAATAATACTCATCTGAATACTCTGCAACTCAGGCTAATTAGGGATAGCAGATTTTCAGTTGTGTAGTTAGGCTTTTGGCATACTTTATGTTGCTTTAGGTCTTTTTGCCCTTCTGAATGTGACCTGAGATGACTTTCTTTCTGAGGTTTTACAACTACTTTGTAATTTCTCGATTTTCTTCTTGTCAGCCTTTGAGCCTCCTCTTTTCACCACAAGTAGATTCTTTAACCTGTTTTTTTCCAGTAAAACCAGGTTGAAGAATCTCTCCTGGGAGTTCCCATCCACTCTTCCCCACTTACACAAATAAGCAGTATATAGGAGAGGGTTGAGGCTGGAGGCTATAGATGTAGAAAGACCTAAATCGCACATAAATTTTGATCCTTCTTTCTGATAACTTGTTTATTGACTTGGAGCAAATTCCTGAACTAACTTGTTTCTTCAACTAAGGAAATAGGGGTATAGTACTTAACCTTTATGTGAAGATTAAATAAGTACATGTGAAGCATTAGCACAATGTTCTAAATTTAGTGAAGGCTTGACAAATGGTAGCTTTTGCCATTTACTACTTAGACTCTATGGGAAAGTTACAATGTTCTGAGCAGTGGAGTAGAATACTGCTAAGGATACCTGTGATGCTGCTGTTTCATACCACTGGGGTCATTAGGGTTTCGGTTATTTAACAACAACTCTTAAAATTGCTGTTTCCAAAGTTGGTTTTGTTAATAGGAAAAAACGGGAAAATTGAAAGCTCAGCAATCATTAAAATGTTTCAAATATGTCTTTAAGGGGTGGTTTTTTTTTAAACATTAGAAGAAAGGATTTAAAGAGGTTTGCACAATTCACTATCAGTTAATGGTATCCTGATATTGGATGTGTAGGTGAATAACTTCATACATTAATGTCCTTGGAGCAAAGAATTTGAATAAATAGTGTTTTGGTCAAACCTCTGTTTCCCTCTCTAACTTCTGCGTGTGTGCAGTTGAGAGAAATACAGAAAATCTTACTTGTATACTACCTAGTTATTAGGTAAGAACCTGTCCAGAATTGTATTACAGAAGGTATAGGTAAATGGAACTGAGTAAGCTCTTACAAGATTGATTAAGTAGATGGTCATAAGTTAAAAGTGTACATTGCAGTCCCTACACAACCAGTAAAAATAAGGCAAGAGATAACAGCTAGAGCTGCTTGATGAATCAAAATGCAATACTGAAGAATAATTTGATTAGCCAGAGGAAGGCAGAGAGGGAGTAACTATGAAAAAAACAAGAAAAGTAACAAATAGCAAAGACAAGTAAGTAAAAAATACTTTTAAGACAGGAAACAAGTCAGTCATGTCCATTAAATATTTTGATACCAATAATTAGGTGGAAGTGCACTAAAAACTCTAGTTATAAAGAGCATCAAACAAATAAGACACGTTAAATACTAACATACAGGCTCGGTGCCTATAGCTCAACTGGCTAAGGCGCCAGCCACATACACCTAAGGTGGCGGGTTCGAATCCCCAGCCCGGACCCGCCAAACAACAATGACGGCTG